AGGCGTTTTGATTTGTCTCTAATTTTGAGCGAATATATCTTGACAACCACATGGCTAAATTCGATGAACTTTTTTTTTATTTAAATTCTATGAATCCATAGAATTCAAATCTAAAGTTTTATCAGATTCAAGCAGGTAGTTGTCGTTATATCTTCGCTCAAAGTTTTTAAAATTTTTATTTTTTTACCGGGATCTGCATGTCGATCATATCAATGCAGGTGTTCTCGAGATTATCGTTATTGTAATACGTATCAGAACTTTATCGGAGAATTTGTCATGGCGCCACTAGCTGTTACCTTTTTTGAAAAAACGTAAATTAACATTAATATTTTCCCGATCTTATCTAACTGACCTGCTGTTTTATCATAATGAGTGCAAGTATTCATGTTGCGGCATTAGAAGGTCAACTTTATACTGTTCAACAAGTCACAAAATCTGAGCCTAAGGCCGTAAATTCAAAAGACGAGGTTTTATTGTAATTTACTTTATTGAATAATTATTTATGCGTCTTTTGTACCTTTTTGCTGATTTCTGCTAAATGTTAAAGGACGAAAGAATTCCTTTACATTGGGCCGGTATGTTCTCTACAAGCTTTATCAATTATTTTAATGGTTTAAATTGTTGTGTCATAAATATGGGTTTCAATTTTTTATTATATAAATAGTTTCAGGTGGTCATTTGGATATCGTAGAATTTTTATTAGATAATGGTTCTGAAGTGAATGCTACCGATGAAGCGCATTGGACCCCTTTACATATTGCCGGTAAAGTATTCTCAATTGTTCTAAATCTCTAAATCATATCAATCGTCATTCTCTCATTAAAAAGATACGTGTTTTGTAGTGTCGATTGGAAATTTACCCGTTACTGAGAAACTTTTACAATCAGGCGCCACTGTCAATGCTCAAAATGAGGTGGGTCTTACTCCATTGTAAGTACTGTTCGATTTACATCTGTTAAAAAAGTCATTTTTGTCTTTGTCGTGATAAAATACAGTGGGCATCGTAAAATTAATAAAGGTCATTAATAATAAAATATATGATATGTTTTTTTTTATCAGACATTATGCTGCTTCTAAGAATAAGATTGAGGTGAAATTGTGTTACGCTATATATTCGATTGTTTTTATATGTGATTATTTAAGTTAATTTACTTTATAGATTGGAACTTTGTTATTGGAAAGAGGTGCTGATCTAAATCTTATGGATCAAAATAATCAAACTCCTCTGTGAGTAAATATTTAATATTTTCAACTTAACTATTATGGAAAAACTTGTTAAATTCTTTTTTATACAGTCATCGATGCGCGGTTGGTGGTTATACTGTATTTGTGAAATTATTGCTTGAGAAAGGTGCCAGACCTAATGTAATTGATAAAGTCAAAAATACGCCGTTGTAAGTGTATTTTATTTCGCATTTACTTTATTTATTTATTACAAATAAGTTAATTTATTCACATGACAGGCATTTGGCATGTGAAGAAGGGTACGGTGATTGTGCATTAGTGCTAATTGAAAATGGTGGTGATATTACACTTGAAAATACGGAAAAGAAAACTCCATTGGATTTATGTAAAAAGGAGTTGAGGGCTTTCATATTACAACAAACTTCAACAGAGGAATAAATAATCACTGATTAAGGTGAATGAATGTATTAATTTATAATACTGTACTTTGTAATTATTCTAATGCAAAAAATTCTAATAGAATTTGTAAAGCTTTTTTTTTTTTTTTTTTTTTATTTTAATTCAAAGTTTCTGTAGTATATAGTGTGACAAAAATAATGAATTTCTATTATACATTACTTAATTAAAATTTAATTATAAAACTCTATAAATATTTTTGAATATATATCTAATACTGTATGTTTATTAAATTTATTTAGTTATTTTGTCAAAATGATTTATAAATTTATATTTTACATATATTTTTATATAATATATATAGGCGGCTGTTATACGTACCCCCCAAATTTGTTATTCGTACCCCCTGCAAAATAACATTTTTTTTAAACTTTGTACGAAGATATCTCAACAACCACCAAGTCAAATTCAATAAATTCATTTTAGTTGCATTCTACAGATTCGTAGAATTCAAATAAAAAAAAAATTCATCAAATTTGACTTGGTGGGTGTCGAGATATCTTCGCTCAAAGTTTGAAAAAAATTTCGGCGCAGCTTTGTTTTAAAATACATTTTGAGTTTCCTTAACTTTGAGCGAAGGTATCTCGTCGACCACCAGGTCAAA